GTTCAAAAAGTATCACGAATTTTGTGTTTTTTCAAAAATTATTTATTTATTCATAAATATCTATTTTGTTTCTTTCATAGTAATAACCACCAGATATTATACACTTGGGCCAACGTTTTTTCCAATCCTCGAAGCACTTCAAAGAATCTTTTTTTGTGATCTTGTTCAGCTACTCCTTCGATGCCGTCTTTATCTCCTCAATCGTAACGTAGCGTCTTCCTTTCATGGGCCTCTTCAGTTTCGGGAACAAGAAAAAGTCACAGGCGGCCAGATCTGGGGAATACGGTGGCTGCGGAATTATTAGTGTAATGTTTATGGTCAAAAAATCGCGCACAAGCAACGATGTGTGAGCAAGGGCGTTATCATGGTGCAAAAGCCAATTTTTGTTCTTTCATAAATCCGGGCGTTTCTGGCGGATTGCTTCTTGCAAAATTGAGCATAACTTGAAAGCAATATTCCTTCTAATAATAATCGAAGAAAACTGTAAGCAAAACCTTCACATTCATCAATTCCTTAGCAAGGTTAACACCATGATGTTTTTTTTTGGTTGAAATTGAGCAGTTTTGGTACGAATTTCGCGGCAACCCATCTCTTGCGCAAAGCATTAGTAAAAATCGAAATGAAGGAGCCAATAGATATGTTTAGGTCCTCAGTAACTTCTCTTTCTGTGATTCGACTATTGGCCAATACTATTTTCTTCATTTCACCAATGTTTTCGTCTTCTTCTCGGCCTTCTGAGAACATTTTGTATAAACGATGAACGTTGCTTCGGTCGAAGGTAGCTTCACCATATGCCACAACATTCAGAATACGTCCACGCACTTAATTTTCATTTCGACACAAAATTTGATACAGATTCTTTGACCCATTTTGCCAAATCACATGAGAAACATGAGTACCAACATAACGCCACGAAAAGTCGAAAATCGAATATACCTAACCCGCGGAAATTCAAAATTCGCGATACTTTTTGAACAGGCCTCGTATACTGAATCTGGTAATGCTCTTATATGGTACTGTTATTTTTGACTATTATTTCTAACGGAAGTATGTCTAATGCAAATTATATTTACTGTTAGAACTGAACAATCGCCTTAATTAAAAATGAAGTTTTTAAATCTTTAAAAATGCTTTGTGAAATTTGAATCAGGACAGGCGCAAAAAACAACTCACGATCATAGCAGGCCGAATATTTTTGCATTTATAACTACGCATATTTCGGAAATTAAATTTCTTTGCAGTAGATTCGTATCACATAAAAGTGATCACATTAAAACAGTAACTTTTTATTTACCCATAAAGAGTTCCTTTTTGCACAAACAAAATTGTAGGTAAATAGGGTCGTTTTGGATGAATGAACCTTGTCAACACGGAGGAATTACGCGTGAAAATCGAAATCCTTTACAAGATCAGTCTAGGGACTAGATCGCTCTCAACATTTTCCAATGTACTTGTATTGACTTAAACTTTTTCATTTGTAATTAATGAAGATTAACACAACAACTTTGTTACTTAAGGAATTCTTTTGTAGAGGGTAATTTTTAATAATTTTTGATACATTGATGTGAAATAAATTTCTACCAACTACAGATTACCTCAAATTTGTGAGAAAAAATGTTTGATGCTGTTTGTCACCCTCGATGGAAATCGAACCGGGGTACCTGGAATTATCATTGTTGATTAAATATCGTACCCTTGATAAAGCACTACTACAATGAAGGGTGAAAAGTCGGTTGCTACTTTAAATAATATCTAAAACAAATTTTGGCTTTGATTTGCTTGAAAGATTATTTCAGGAAAACTTTCTTACAATAAACGTCCTTCTTTTCTTCTTTTTGACTAGTTTTGTTTTTCTTCGCTTCTTCACATTCTTTGTCTAATTATTTTCTTTTCCGTACTCATGTTCTTACACGAGAGAAGTATCTTCAATCTAAAAAATGCAGTAATTATCTTTAATATTATTATTATTGGTTGTATTTCATCAAAATGCTACACAAAATATTAATTTTGAAAAGAGTGTAGAAGATAATCTGAGAGATACAAATTAAATTAATATAGTCAGAATTCTACATCAATCTTACCCTTTTATTACAAAAACAGTTAAAATTGGAAACTCGTTTTTTTTGTAGTGTTCCTATAACTGAAATATGTAAGCGTAATACAGGGGTCGACAAACTTTTAAGCTAAAAGAGCCATTAACAATAAAAATATTGTTTTATGAATTTCAAATTAAATAAAATAATGCTTTATTTATTATTATTTATATTATTACTATGTCACAAATTATGATGTCCTTCATGGTTTTGATCGTTCTTGTGAAGTAGCCATCAGTGTCAACAAAACACTGTTTCCATCCCGATGATTCCTTAAGATTTGAAAATGTAATAATGTGTCTATCTCCATATCTTCTGCCAAAAGAAGCAATTTATTTTCTGAACTAACTATCTCTTCAAGTAATGATAATGCTGTGTTTCCTTCACCTGAAAGCTTTAGATTTAGTTCGTTGAGATGCATTGAATATCAGTCATAAAGTGTATGTTTATTCATTCCGCTTTAGCTTTTAATTTCTTTAAGGAACTTTGAAAAGCCGCAATTGTCTTCTAAAAAACCACATGCGGTTTGCGAGCTAGAATTTGCCGACCCCTGTCTTAATACCAATACAATAGTATTATAACTCTCCTAGTTTAAACCTTTGGCCTAATGATGAAATTGAAATAAAGATATAGTTTACATTTTTGTTTCTATATACAAATATAGTCTTACAATCACTGAAGTTGGTTCAGAACTTATGAATTTGTGTTCTAATATAGAAGACCATCTCTTTTGAAATATGACTGATTTAGGGCTTTTTGAATGCTGGTAAAACTTTTCTCTTATTATTGTATAATATATTAATCTTATATTCGGCATTTCGTATTTACTGTTGTAAAGGCTTTGAACAAGTTGCATTAAAATTGTTGACATACCTTCAGTATATATGCGTTACTCCTTATGTAGAACATAATTAATTATCTGGTGAATGTAAAATTTCGATGTACCGTGCTACCAACAGCAATTATTATTTTAGAGCCGCAACATTAATTACCTAGGTGCTTACTGGCTACCTTTCCAAATTTGGATGGGTAAAGACTGCTGAAGAAGATTCTTATGTAGTTGGGAAATATGGCAATTTTCTCACTTTTATGTTGACTATTATTTCTGATAAAGCGTACTTACTGCGTATAATAATATGTAATAAATAAGATTGTAGAAAACAAACAATTTATTGTATTAATAATAAATTAAAATAAGAAAAAACATACACTAAAACTATTATTATAAATATTCTTAGAAGTAAACAAAATTATGCGAAGGTACAAAAGTAAACATAAGTGTCGACAAGTTAAAAAGTTAGTGTAAAACTTTTAGTATATGATATGCATACGGAATCGTTATTCATTATATTAGTTTATAATACTGTGACCATATTCACATAAAAAAAGGATTTTTTTTCCATGACAGAATATAGGTTAGTTTTGAGTTCTTCAGTCTCCCGGACATCTTACCGTCAATACTTAAAATTTCTAGTAGTATGAAACTAAACTCTGACAGAATATCTTCTGTTTTTTTCATTTGAACGTGATGGCCACGAATTTCCGCCTTTGCGAGGATGATACTCGTACCTTACAGCGACTGGTTTTCTGACCGATGATTCCCCATTATTGTCATTTTGGTCACTTTTAAAAGTAACAGGAGATCTTGAGACGGCGTTTGCCTTCTGATTAGCGGATTCAGATGGATCGGTATGCTTTACGTACTTTTGATGGTGATTTTGTTTGGAACTCTGTTCAGCGAATCCATCGGTTTGTTGCGCTTGTTTTTGCATGTAATTAAGGTATTCACTTGGGTTCTCGCTTGGCTTAATAACAAAAGGCATATTTTGAGTAAGTGGAAGATTATTCGAAAAAGAAGATATGCCTGTACCAAATTGTAGATTATTTAATCCTTGCTGTGAGAAATCAGTAAATTGTGGTATGTAATTGCCTCCACTCTGAAACAGCGATTGTTGATCATTTTGAGGAGCTAGTTGTAGGAGTGTAGTATCAAAATGCGTGGGAATCAGACTTGCATCGATGGGAATAACATTAAAATTAGGGGTGAGAGGTGCACTTGATGTAAGTGCTGCAGCGGAAGCTCCTAGAATCTGTGGAGATTGATTGACATCATAATTAAAGGTGTGTAGATTAAAAGAATTCGGATTTGGATTTTGCGTTTGAGTAAAAGTGGAAGTGGGCTGTGCCAGTTGTTGGCTAGAAAAGTCCTCAACAGAACTACTGTCTTCGGCAGATGTTTCTGTTACATTTTGTTTTGCAATCTGAAAATTTTGAACACCAACTGCGTTGCTGTAATCAAAACCTTGGCTGCGGCCCAGTGCTCGGGCGTGATCGAATTTTTTGGACTGCTCCAAATGTTCAGACGGATCAAATTTGAAGTTTTCGGGAGGAAGTTCAGGGCTGTGGTAAATTTCCACATTTGGACCTATGGTTTTCCAATTTATTTTTTGTTGTTGCTGATTTTGTGGTTTTTGAGAAAATTGAACTTTATTTCTTTGATTAGTACGGACTACTGATCTATGCTCTTGATAATTTCCTTCGTCTGATTCTTCGTAACCTTTATGATTGTTCTGACCTTGGAGTTTCGGACTGTACGAATTTGATGTACCAGTCTGGGAGTAAGTGTCATCGCCAAAGGAAGAAGATTTTACGGATTGGTCTCCTGTATTTGCAGATGGTCTTGAATTTAAAAATTGAACCATTTCTTCGTGTATATTCTGTTGTTCACCAGAATGAGAATATTTAGGATTGGTATCTAGACTAACTTTTAACGGGAGCCTTGCTCCGTTCCTTTCCTTTTTAAGCGATGGCTCGTCATACTTAAAACCAGAAATTGGCTGGGGACGCGCTAATCCTGCATAAGATTGCCTAGTTTTTGAGGAAAGTAATAGTACTTCGGGGTCTTCTGTATCGGCATACGGCGAACGGTACTTATTTTGCTTGGGTTTTCCTTTCTGTCTAGATCTTTTGTTATCTGAAATTGAATTCGCAACGTATTCTTGTGAATCTGGTTTCTGAACTAGTCCAGTGTTTGTCCCTCTTATAATTTCTGGATCTTCATCTTTTACGGGCTTAGATTTCTTCGGTCCTTTGGAAAAACTCATACTGTATCCAACATTAAACAACTGGCTACCGGGATGTTTTGGAATTATTTTAGTACTATGCTGGGTACTTCCTTGATAGTGTTGGTCGTAATATTTAACTGGTTTGGCTCTGGGCGGTGGCTTGTTTTCTTCTACTTTATAGGGCCTATGAGTTCGCGTTACCAAAGATCTAGGTTTATGGTAACTAGAGGGTTTAGATTTATAGTTTCCCAATTCTACTTGGATGTTACTCTCGGCTTCTTGGTCTGGAAAATATGGGTTGCTATGGAAAATGTTCGTGGTATAAGTTATTTCTCGCCTAGTTAACGGTTCTTTTCCATTGTTCGATAACAGTTGACCAGCAATGCATGAGAAAGAGAGTGAGAAGACCTGAAAGTAAAATGAAAATTGTGACTTACAAGTAGAGAATATTCATGTGGCAAGAACGCTATAAACTGTTTAAGTGGGCAGACGCGTGCATAACATATTAAATATGCATGTTGACTAAATTTTTGTCTTAAATCTTCTTTCGGTAATTAACCTAAAAGTTTACTTATGTTGTAGTTTTTATACAACACAGTTGTGGGTAATTGTGAAAGAACAGATATCAACGTGAATTAAAAGAATAGTTATTTCTACGTTACCATTCTATTCAGCGTTTATATAACAATAATTATAATAAACTAGTAGAACATAATTAATTATCTGGTGAATGTAAAATTTCGATGTACCGTGCTACCAACAGCAATTATTATTTTAGAGCCGCAACATTAATTACCTANGTAACATTTAAAGTTTTTTATTGAAAATAACTAAAACCAGCTAGGATACATGCACCCAGTCTTCTCTTGTTCAAAAATGATTCTTTACACCTGGCTGGTAAATCTTCCTAATCGTTGTGGTTATCCACTATTCCAAAAGTTCTGTAAAAATTGATGCGAGGAGGTAGACCTATATTAGATTACTGTTCACAAATAGTTAAGGATGTGAGCTGTTCTAGTGTTAGGGGTTTTTATCTGAATTGGGTTCTGACAAATTATTTCATTAATAAGCACTAGGGGGAAATAAAACAATTAAGGATGAAAAATAAGGATGGGGATAAAAATTGGTAATTTGTAAATGTAAAATAGGGAATAGTCGAAAATAAAAGATTCTTCTTCTCGAGACAGAAATTGTAACACATATTCATTCAACTGTGTCCATGACTGTATGATGGTATATTTTTATTGTTCCTTTTTTCTGTTGTGTTCATCTAAACTGATTTGTTTCAAAAAACTTTAAACTAAGGTAATTAATTTTTATAGCTACATGTGCTAAATGGTGTTATTGTTTTGCATTCTCTATTATTTTGGTCTAATAAATTCATTTAATGAGTTGTTCTCGCCTTTTTTCTGCATTTGTATGAAGATTAGTTTTCAATGTGAGTTGTTTTTTGTTAGCAGGTTTAAGTTTTCTTATTCAACCGCGCGGAAAAGCTTATAGGGATATGAAAGTTTTATATTGAATAAAATTAAAATCGAAAATGATTTTGTTAATATTTTTTTTCTGAACAATAATAATAATTAAAGTATAAGTCACTTTGTAAGTGGAAAATCAGATTACGCCTCTAGTAATTTGTAAAGGTAATAATTAATTGCAGCCTTGCCTACTTTCGCTTACAACAAACAAGGTATACATTAATTAGTTAATATATTTTAATTTATAATTTTCACATTACTTACATACCAAATTAGAAAATTATTATCGTGTATCATGCCACTGATTTTCTTTTGGTATATCTTTAAAACCTTCTTTTTAATGTAATAAAACATTGATGATGCTCTAAAATTCATTTAAACATCAAGCGAAGAATTTTGTGTAATTAATAACACCATGCTGAGAAATTTACAGCATAACATTTTAGAACAGTAGTTTTATCTCCATTAGACATTTTAAGACCTAAATCATAATACTTTTTGGAATTTCTTATCACTATGCGAAAATATGGTAATTACTTGAATGATCCTCCAATTCAACATTTAATGAGAAGCGTCTTCAATATTAGATAACTTATTAATAACAGAATGGTTATAAATTATTTATTAATTCCACAATAATTATTTCGACAAGTAGTGGTTTCTGCAGCTGGAAGAAATGTAATATGTATGATACCAATACATCATTGTTAAATTGTTTAGTTAATTAGTTTTTTGTTGCTTAAATGGTCACGAATATTGTGACTTTTCAGGTAAAAATAGATGCCGGACAAGTGAGTGTTTGACTGGGGCACCCAGGTTTCCATTCCTTATCAAATATGTTATGTAGATAATGATTTCAGAAACGTGTAATTTTTGAGTTTATCTGAATACGCTGCATTTAGTAAGTTTTGTAATTTTATTCCCAATCTTTTCTTATAATTGTGGTAGAAATTAATGCCAAAATTATGGCAGTTAGTTCATTTGCAGCAACCAATACCTACATTTGGGCTCTTGATGTAAAGTTCTTCAAGGGTACATAGAATTCAGTGAAGTTTAAAATTAAGGCCAATTATGTGCAGCTTACTGGATTGAAATTAAGAGATTCTTTGAATGCAGAAAATCAGATCGAAAAATATGTTTCTGTTCCATGAACACGATCATCTGATACAAAAATCTAAGTAATTGCAATTTCATAAGTAGTAAGTACACAGCCTTACTTACTAATTTCTCTAGAGTCTTGAAAAATCCTTATTTACATATAAACTAGATTTTACCAGCGACTTCGCTTGCGTTGATGTCCTAAATACGTGTCAAAAATCATCGACGACCACATAAAACTAATTTTTCTATCTCTCGGGAACAACATTTTTTCTGTCGGATAAAAGGTGCCGTGTGTTCTTGTCTGTGTTCCTGACAATGCGTCTACAAAATTTATTGATGATTGATCGAGTAGTTAAGGTTTGAAATCGATCACATAAAACTTGTACTCCTGACAATATGTCTACAAAATTTTGAATCGGTTGAATGGTTAAGGCGTGAAAAGCCGACATACAACACAAACAAACTCACATTCGCAATTATAATATTAGTTAGGACGTCGATAATGAATTATGTATTTTTGCACCCATTTTTACTTTGATTTCTTTACAATAATAATTTTATTTTAACTAACAATATTCGAACTACATAGAAGGCAAATAAAGTGGTTTAAAATTACTTATTTATTATTAATACTAAGAGAGTTCTATTTGTGCGAAATATTTATATAAAAAATTTTTTTGAACTATATAGAAATTTTGGAAATAATGGAGAACCTACACTATTGACATATTTAAGGCCACAAATCAAATAATTTATGTTTATCTATATTATTGATATACCTTGAGTTTATCATACACGATCAAATCCAAGTAAATTTGGGTGAAGTCGTGTGTCTAAGTTTTTGAAAATTATTAATAATTTTCCCCATTTAAAAATATCTAATAAACCTCTTTGGATTGCTAGTAATTAGGTAACATGAGAAGCTGCTGAGAGACAGACAGGCGAATGGTTTTGTCCATTTTTACCTCAGAGGAAATGTTATGTGTTAGACATTTTACAACTATTAAAATGCTTTTAAAGAAACCAAAAAGCTTTTAAGGCGGCTGTTAAAAGTGCCATGCTATCAATCCAAATGATAGATTAACTTTGTAGATACTCATTTTCTATTTCATGTAAAAGTACAAAGCTAACCAGAAAGTTAGTGGAATTGTTTGGAAAGTTGAATTTATGTGTACTGTTATACTTCCTTTGTTTTTAGGGTAACACAACGAGTAAAATCCTTTAAATACAATAAAGGCTATTATAAACTATAAATATAACGTACACTCTTATAACATACCCGCCTTCAACTATTACCCCTCTATTGGTACCCATGGGGCATTCAGTTGATACATCTTTTGTGACGCTATTACGTACGTTTATGTGATATGAAATACGAAAGTAAACCCAACATCAAAGTCTAGTAGTCCTATTGGGATACGTGATGGTCTTCTTGGAAGAAAGACTCCAATACTGACAAGAAAGATTTAGTTGGTGCTCATGTTCCGAAAATTAACTTCGCGAAGATGAAGACAATGATATATCAAAGTGGAAGGGTGTTGTTGTACTATCAATGTGGTTGACAACAAAAAGAGATGTTAAAGCGGAATAGGTTAGTATTAGACCTTCTCAGCCATGAAGGTCTAGTCAGAGACATATTAGAGGCAGAAACAGGAGTTAGGAGGAGTAGAGATAGATCTAGATTAGATTACTGTTCACAAATAGTTAAGGATGTGAGCTGTTCTAGTGTTAGGGAAATGCGAAGATTAACTCAGGATAGGAAGGAGTGGAGTTGCGTGTCCAACCAGTCTTAGGACTGACGACCTTATGATGATGATAGCGGAATACTTATTTAATATGGTTTTTGTTATGATTGAAATGGATATGGTAGTTCTGTTGGCGGTCGGTCAATAAAAAACAATAAAGAAATTATGGAAAAAAAAATCGCAAACTTGATGACAAAGAAGACAAGAAATGCTGTGCTCAATGTTAGTGCTAGTGTTATTGTTACCATGTATTAGGCATTAAACGGATTTTATTATTTATCAGGAACTGTATATAGCTCAAATAATTGTATAATTGTAAAAAAATTTTAACCCCAATACAATTTAATATAATAATATTAAAGAGTTAATTAAGGAAAACACAGGGACGGGTGCAAAGTCGGTTCAACGAAATTATTTATTTAAAGTTGCAACTACCACCTGCTTATCTATCGGATTAGTAGATCAATTGGCGACTATTTAAATTAGCGGAATAAATAATAATCTTGGATGTGGAATCCATTGAAAATTCACGAGAAGCCAGTAAGACATGGTGGTGAGGCGCTTTACTGTCTTTACTCACCCTGCAAAGGTTTTCTACCATTTAAAATTCGCTTCTCTTACATTATAATTTCTAAATAAATATATATAAAATTCGCTTCTTCATGACAGATCGAGTTCAAATCTGGCCTCAAAGTTGCCTCAGTACGTTATATTTTTAAGAAATCCGAGTATCAAAACTTGAAAAATGCATTTCTTATCGTATTTGAGAGAATTACTGTTTGAAACAAAAGGACAAAATAACCAAGAGGGCAGTCATTATTGAGTTTTTTTCTGTCGTTAAATTAGAATCTGGCCTTAAAATGCCGTAGTACATCACAAGCTTGAAAAAGGGTCTCGCCGGGTTTCCATATGAAATCTGCACTGGCGTCTTTTTTGACATTGGTGCCTTTAATATATTACTAGTTGTTGAAAATATTTTTTGCCCAATTATCAAACCCCTAACTTCATTCGTTTTTGGAAAATGGGGGTTGCAACCCGTAACAGATAATGATTTCAGAAACGTGTAATTTTTGAGTTTATCTGAATACGCTGCATTTAGTAAGTTTTGTAATTTTATTCCCAATCTTTTCTTATAATTGTGGTAGAAATTAATGCCAAAATTATGGCAGTTAGTTCATTTGCAGCAACCAATACCTACATTTGGGCTCTTGATGTAAAGTTCTTCAAGGGTACATAGAATTCAGTGAAGTTTAAAATTAAGGCCAATTATGTGCAGCTTACTGGATTGAAATTAAGAGATTCTTTGAATGCAGAAAATCAGATCGAAAAATATGTTTCTGTTCCATGAACANTATACCTCAAAATCTACTTGATGTCAGTTTACTTTATTTAAATTTCAATATCTTACAACTCGAACCAGATTCGAAAAATACATGGAAAATGATTGCTCCTCTTGTGTATTGGTGTCAAACAAGTTAAGTTAGTATTATTGGAATTTTTAAGTTAAGATATCAAAATCTTTTGTTTTCATTGACCAGTGATCACTGATCTAGGCCGTTGGATGAATTTAGCTTGCCTCAAATATTTGTGTGGGTCAAGGTGAAGATGATGGTGATGGTAGCAAGTAATATTGGTAGATTTATAGGTCTGGTGGTAACATATAAATAAAAAATTTAGGAACATCAAATTTTAGAGGCGAGAAATATTTGGTCTTCTTTTCGCACAATCAAAACACATATCTTTTATCGTAGACTGTTACTATACCTCTCTACAAAGTATAGAACGTTCTTGATCAATTTCGGAACTTTCCCGTAGTTTTTTTGGTACCAATTTAGAGTATGTGGGTTGAATGTAAAGAAATGAATAGAAATTGACAGTGAACTCATGAAAATTCCTACAATATGTGATTTTACATGTATCAGAAAGTTCAGCAAGGCCTCCTGAGACCGATCATCAATTGTTATATTCTTAAAACATTCTTTCAATCAGAGGCTTCAGTAATTCATACGCAATATGCAGAAGCCACTGATGTTGTTTAATACAAAATAAAATTTACCCAAAATCAACAAACATATTAAACGCATTCAAATTAAATTGAGTTGTTAAATAAATGCCGCTCTATATCTTAACTCTTAAATTGTTGTTATAACCAATTAAATATAAACTTTTTAAAATTGACCGGTAGATTAAATAGAAATATCTATGTAACAAGAACATTTTAATTTATTTTTAAATGTCAATATGTACTTAATACTTGGAAAATTATTTAAGAAAAATAAAATTAGAGTACCAACATCTTTGGTAACTGTTGACTATTTTGTTATTAAAATCACTATTAGACCAAAATAATGGAGAAAATTGCAGTAACAATTAAGTAGATACATCAGGATAATGTTTGTACTTTGTATATCTGGTAAACCGCGTTATCTAAGTTAGTTTACCCTTTAAGTCCTACTAATATCATTACACCCAAAGTGGGTATCGATTAAATAAATTCAAATTATAGAATAATCCTAGTATTTTTATTGGTTTAATTGCTTATTTAATTAATATGTTTCATCTACAATCAACAGCCGAATCAATTTGTTTAATGATAAAATCTATAACTTAGATCTGAATATATCTTAGTAATAAAATAAATTTCTAAATTAATACAAAATTTAAGTATAAAGTTAAATTACACGTAGTAATACAAAAACTTCAACAATTAAAACTAATGAAAAGAAAGGAAGAAAGTTTTAAATATTAGACTAAAAGTTCCATATCTTCGAAATAAATAACGAACAAATGATTAATTTCGGTCAAAAAGTAGAAATCCTTTTATTATTTCGTTACTTACCAACAACGAATACATGATCCAAATACCACGAACTTCAACACAACAATAACAATAATTACTCTATATATTTCACACTTTCACACGATAGGTCGGCAAAGGAAACCTAACAATTAACGGTTTAGTTAATGCCGACTCAAAATTACCAACTTTAACCGTTAGAAAAGCAACAATAAAGTGGTATGTAATGTTAAATGAAACTGTATATAGCGGAATCCCCCAACATTGCAAACAGAATCATTCAGAGGCGCACCAGTAGCCGCTTCGGAGTACATACAGTTACTGTGTCATCTACATATACAAGTATCACTTGTGCATAATACATGACACTGCTTAGGTTTTTTTGTTTCTCAAAGTTCGAAAAGAAAACGTTTTCACTGGAATTATTTGAACGAATTTAGACCTAATTTTACAAACGCACGAGAAGATACCTAAATAAGGTTGGTTACCTTTTTTGGATGCTTCTTAATTAAACACTCTAATATATGTAAACGAATATCTAATGATACTAAACTTTTTCTAGTGAAGTTTCTATTTTCCGAATAAAATAATAATTTAAACTTCAAAGAACAAATAATTAGTTTGATTTTTTACGGTGCGGTGTCTATAATAAAGAATAAATGAGAATAGCAAAAGCAATAACAACTTTATTTTACTGAAACACAAAGAAAAGTTGTGTTTCCAAGATAGGAGAGAACTAAAAGAACTGAGTGTTAACCTTTCAATTTACTTAGTGCATTCATGGGAAGAATAAGTTATTTTGGATTGAAAATCAAAAGAACTGCTTTTTATTCATATTCCACATTCCATAATATGTTCAAACAAGAATTGTGTTAGTTGGGATGTCATGGAGGCAGCATTTCTTAGATTTTTATGGATGCAACCCATTTTAGTATTCACCTTTTTTGTGAAATTCCTGATTTATTTTAATAGTTTTGTATGGTTTTAATGCAGCATTCTTTAGTTGATTTCTAATAAAATTGATAATTTATTTCGAATGTTTATGTGTTTAAGTAATAATTTTAAAATTAATCATTCCGAAGATTCTTAAAATAACATAGCAATAAAGTGTTTAAATTGGATTTCTATTTTAAATTTTAACGAAATGAGTATTAGGTATAGTTTTTATCGTAACAGATCTTCTTTTAATATTAGGTTAGGTTAGTGGAAACCATGGTTAATTGAGATTTAATTTTTTTTATTTAAATTTTATTTCATTTTTAGTGAATTATTTTTTTGAATTAACTGTACTTACTGCAGATAACCTCAAATTAATGAGGAAAAATTGTTGCTGTGTCATGTCCTGGACGGGAATCGATCCCCGGGCCTCCAACTTCACACATCAGTACTCAACCACTTCGCTACGAGGTGACAATTTTTCCTAATTAATTTGAGGTTATCTGTAGAGGGTAAAGTTAAATCACTAATGCATTGAATTTAACCCTACAAAAAAATTCAAACTGTCTTAACTTTTATTATTTTGTCTTGAATGTTATGGAATAAGCATATACGTTTTGCGGAACCCTTCAGTGATTTCCACGGAACGCAATAAATAAATAATTGAAAATCACGAGGTGACAATTATACAGAAACACTTCAAAAACGACAGTATATAATTACTATATTTATTATTTTAATTGTACAACGTTTTTAAGACAATTGTTATGTTAATTAGTTTTTAGAGTTTTATCTATACAAAAATCTTTATTAATGTTTCTTAATGGTTGTTGACCTCTGAGCACGCTCTTTAACCAAATTCCATCAGTATTACAATTTTGACTAAATAAAAGTAGTCTTGAAAAAGCTTGTTACTTGGTGAAACGTTGGCTGTGATTTTTTTAAATAAAATAAATTTAAACCCCAATATCGCTTTGATCAAAGGAATTGAATTCAAAATAGGGGAAGAAGATTAAATAGGTTGAGTATTTAATTAAACTTCAAGTAAGAGGGGCTCTTCTCGGTCACAGCCTAACCTTTAAGAGATGAAAAACATAAAAAATATAAAACGCCTATTTAGTATAAGTATAGTTTCACGGAACCCTTCAGTGATTTGTACTGAACATTGGAGTTCCGCAGAACACGGTTTGTGATGACACGCACTTCCACTTTTTCCTTTTTCCTTATTGATTAGAAACACTGTCACAGGGGATTTAATAAAACTTCAATATCAAATGGAAAAATACAGGACATTAACAAACAATTGGTACAGTAAAATGTCGCAAATTAGGTAAATTAAGATTTCTTAACTTATACTTACGTAGCATCTATTCCAGTCTCATAACAGAGGGAAGCCAACTTTCAAAGTAGAATACAATTCGTACGAAAATAAAAGGTGCTTAATGTATTATATATAAACGTCGTCCATTACAACTTTCTTCAATTTTTTTAATCTGTAGGTAACTGTTAGGGTTTAACCAGTATTAACTTAATTTTATTTATCTATTATGATATCCAATTCATGTTTGACTTATGTCAGTAATGTTTTAAGCATTAGTAATAAAATTCATTATTTATATTCGTTCCTTCTGGTTTGCCGATGCCACTAACCTTGGTCAACCTTTCTTGAGAATCTCAAATGCATGTCAGATAAAAATATGGGAAATGCAGTGAATACCATTACGGTAATGCTAGCGTGGGTAATATATCGCTCTTAAACTTAAATAGCTGACACACATAATAATACCGGATGCATACCAAATATTTTCACTGTTGGTTGTTATTAAGACTGTGCCTTAATTTATGTACAGTCACTCTTCGTGCCCATGGCGTTTGAGGTTTCCAAGATGCTACAGCTAATAGGCAGAAATGGGCTAATTCTTCTAATAGCCGGTTAATATGCGTTTTGTATTTTTTATGTTTTTCTTCTCTTAAAGGCTAGGCTGTGACCGGGAAGAGTCCCCTCTTATTTAAACTTTAATTATATTCTCAACCTACTTAATCTTCTTCCCCTATTTTCTATTCAATTCCTTTGATCAAAGCGATACTGGGGTTTAAATTTATTTTATTTAAAAAAAATCACAGCCAACGTTTCACCCAGGCAATAATTTATTCAAAATTGTAGTACTGATGGAATTTGGTTAAAGAACATGCTCAGAGATCAACAGCCATTAAGAAACACTAATAAAGATTTTTGTACAGATGAAACTCTAAAAACTAACTAACATAACAATTAATACAGACAGATAACACAATACAGACTACTTCGAATTATTTTATTTTATTCGATTAAGCTAACGTGCCTATCACGTTGAGGTTGGTTACGCCGGGATTCGTTTTCAGCAAGTAGATATCCACACAAGTGGACCTTGTTGGAGCATACGTACTCCTAAAATGTAGCATCGTGCTACAGATGGCGTTTACTGCGCCATTTGTAGTATTTTCTAAAACATAACAATTGTTTTAAAAACGTTGTACGATTAAAATAATAAATATAGTAACTATCTACCGTTGTTTTTTAACGTGTTTTGTATAACTGTCACCACGTGATTTTCAATTATTTATTGCGTTCCGTGGAAATCACTGAAGGGTTCCGTGAAACTTACATACTTATTCCACAATATTCAAGACAAAATAATAAAAGTTAAGATACTGAATTCTTTCGTAGGGTAAATTCAATCCATTAATGAATTAACTTTATCCACTAAAGATAATCTCAATTAATGAGGAAAAATTGTCCCCTTCTCGTAGCGTAGTGATGGAGTACTGTACTGTGTAAAATCGGGGGCTTGGAGGGTCGATTCCCGGCGACAGAGTGACACAGCAACTATTTTTCCTCATTAATTTGAGATTATCTGCAGTGAGTAAAGTTAATTCAAACAATTAATTCACTAATAAATCGAATAAAATTTAAATAAAAAAAAATTGAACCTCAATTAACCATCACCTCTACTAACCTAACCTAATATTAAGAATAGATCTGTTACAATAAAAATTCTACCTAATACTCATTTAATTAAAATTTAAAATTGACATCCCATTTAAACACCTTATTGCTATGTTATCTTCAGAATCTTCGAATTAATTTTAAAATTATTGCTTATAACACATAATCATTCGGAATAATTACCATTTTTATTACAAATTAACTAAAGAATGCTGCATTAAAACCATACAAAACTATTAAAATAAATCAGGATTTCACAAAAAAAAAATGAATATTAAAATGGGTTGCACCTATAAAAATCTAAGAAATGCTGCTCTATGACATCCCAACTAACACAATTCTTGTTTGGGTATGTTATGGAATGTGGAATATGAATAAAGAGCAGTTCTCTTGATTGAATTGAAAAGCACGTAGTGACAGTTATACACAAACACTTTAAAAAACAATTGTATATAGTCACTATATTTATTATTTTAATCGTACAACGTTTTTTAAAACAATTGTTATGTTAGTTAGTTTCTAGTTTCATCTAAAAAAACACCCAAAAGTTTTAGTGTTTTGCCCTACTATGATGAGTTCATTCCTTCGTCATTTTCTTCTACCAACTGTTTCTACTTTTACCACTTCTTTACATTCTTTAGGGCGTTGAACATGTTGAGTATGTGACAGTATCCTCGGTCGTTACATGTTTTATAAAGATTAAAAGTGGTCGACTTAGTCATTTTCATATTTTGGCCAAAGTGTTCTAAAAGATGTTTGGAATATCCTCTAATGTTCGAGGTTTGTTCCAGCTTTGAGTGTGTGGGTCGAAGGTTAAACACCGGCCATCAATATGAGTACGAATAAGTGAAAATGCACCTACTAGAATGTTCATGAATGTTATTCCGAGATCTTCCCCTAGGATCTTTTCGAATAATGAGGATTGCCTTCAAGTAAAATGTTCTGGAGTGAACTGGACTAGAAGAATGGAGAACATTCTGGAATATTCGATGACCATTCTGTTTGAGTGATCGAGCTAAACTAAACTAAATTAGGGCATTTTCACAAAGTGTTCTAAAAGATATTCAGATTCTCCTGTTCAAGACTTCTGTATTTTGTGCGTTTAGATTTGCAAATTAACCATCAAACACCTCTTTCGAATATGTAATAATGTAAATGCAGTAAAGCGGGTTGTAATTTGCTAGTTTTTTAAACAATAACTTAAAATCACTTATTATACAATATCGTTCTTTACTTAGCAGTGCATCTTTTAATAAAGTATTTAGGTTTTTAACTAAA